AGCTGAGATACATTAGGTTGATTCAGAAGTTCTGTCGCTTTAATTTTGAAGAACGTAACTGCTTCCTATACATTCGACTTACAAAAAATATATCGAGATAGGAAAACTTTTCTACTTTCTAATGGTATTCTCAAGGGACTCTGACGACAAAAGACTCCAGAGATGAGAATTCGGGAAGGAAAACCACTCAAACTCCAAAAATTAGAAAATAAATCGTCAAAAATCTGAAACGCTGCAGAAAAGTTTGAGAGCATATTGAAGGTTTTGCGAGATGCTCTTTTCAAAGATGCTGAGTTTGCTCTGATCGAGCTTTTCCACGAAAAACTATGATTTTCGTGGAAAAAAATGTCATTTTTGCCACTTTCTGTATTTTTCACGAAAGTCATAACTTATCTTAGAAAAGCTCGGTTAACTCAAGCTTGGCACCATTGAAGACGCAGAACCTATAAATGATATGATCTCAAATTTTTCTGCTGCGTATCAAATTTAACGATTTATTTTCGAGTCTAAGAGTTTGACTGTCCCTCTTCGAATTTTTACCTCTGGAGCCACTTGTTCTTGAAGAGCGGCGAAAGATGAGGTTAGAAAGTAGATGAATTTTTTTTAGCCGAGGGTATTTTTTGTAAGTCAATGCGTCACATAGGGAGCAGTTACAATTTTTTCAAAATCAAAGCAACAACTTTTGAACTTTTGAATCAACCTAATACTATGAGTTTTGCGAACTTTGCTTAACTTCAAAGTTAAGCTACAACGTCTTTTTGACAATAAGTTGTTTCATTTGTGCTTGATATTTCATCCAGCTATAGTATAACAAGGAGAAATAGTAGGCGATAGGCAACTATAACTACACATTTTTGATAGTATCACCTCAGCATGAGCTGCATCCTTCTGGGTGTCTTCCACAAGCTGATTCAATCTAGTTTGTGCCTCTTCTGCTTTCTTCGCTTGAGCTAGAGCAGCTGACTCTAACTGCTTAATTTGTTCGTCCAAATCAGCGAGGCGGCGTCCAGCTTCCGCTTTCTGCCTTTCCAATTGCTTTACAGTGACTTCCAGAGTGCGAAGCTCCACCTGAATTCTCGTCATAATCTCAAAACGGTGAACAGTTGTATGTTTGACACCTGTAAGTTTTTGATTTGGCTATCCTTAACTTTCATATCTGCTTCTAACTGTGAAACCTGAGCATCGGCTTCCCTGAAGAAAAATTTTGGCTGATATCTCATCCGAGCAAAAAGGATTAAGCAAGCATTACCTTCTGTCCGCGAGCAGTTTTTCCATTTCCTCCGTTATTTTTCGCATTTCTTCGGAGTCACCTGCGCTCAAGTTGCTCGTATTAACGTTGCCGTCGTTGGTGTGTCCATTTTCCTTCAAATGGAGTTTTCGCTTGATAACAAAGAATTCAATCGATATGTTCTCAGCTCTGGGTCTTCAAACAAAAAACGAACTCACCGGAACTGAGAGTGCACGAAGAGAAGGTGGAATGAGGAATGGAGGTAGAGCTGAGGGCAACTCTTCTCCACGCTTGCGCATATTCACAAGATGTATACTAAAATGCAAAATACTAAGCAAAAACCAGCGAACGGCAAAATCAAAGATATTGAAAAGCCACAGCTGAACGCAATAAGATGAACGCTTACATTAGTGCAAACTGCTCTTGATTGAGTCTTCCAGTTTGATTGATGTCCGACAGTGCCCAAACTTGCGCAAGTTCGCTCTGTGGAAGACCTGCAACACATACATTAATGATGATGCATGAATGCGTTTTTACAGTACGAGACAATAAAGACCAAGAAACTCAACCTGAATTGAGAAGAACATGCTTAACATCGTTCCCACTAACAAAGCCGTCCGAATCAGTGTCACAGGCCGCGAATTGAGCAGCCGAGGACAATCTGTCGACGGGCCACTCAAGTGAGCAGTTACTGCTGCTAGCAACAGACATCGACATAGGTGCGATCATGCCACGAACGGGAGTAGCAGGCTGAAAAGTGAAAGTAAGAGCAGTGGACCGGCCACAGGTCTTAATGCTACTATTGCGCCCTGTTTTTTGATGCAGAATCGTCATTCTGAGCATTGATGATATGACCAAATGATTTTAAAGCGAGATTATTATCAATGCATTCAGATATTGCGTTTGGCGAAGCGCTAAGTGGCTGCGGCAAATCGCGTCATAAATGACAATAATGTACATCTTGAAGAAGAAGGCGTAGACTGCTTTTCGATTTGTTGAAATGGCATTTGGAGGTAATTTGATATATTCTATCGGCAATGACCGACTCCCACAAGTTCTTCTACATCCGATGGAGGAAGAGTGAGTTTCACACACTTCCCGGCGCTTTCATTGATTTTGTTATTTCTGCGCTGTGAATCAAGCCAAAACATTAGTCTACATTAGCACTAACCGCACTTTCATTCCTCGGAATCTGATTTGGCTGCACCGACGCGCTTCTGTTTTCGAACTGCGACGGCTTTGCGGAATGTCCAATGCTGTCTAACGACGTCATGCTTCCAGCGCGCGATCGATAACCTATAATCAAGGTGAATGGACATTGAAACAAATAAACAAGCGGAAAACTCGCTAGTTGCTTACACTTACCGCAGATCTCAAATGAAAGAAATTGCTCTACGTTTTCAACATTACTTTGCGTTCACTACACATTACACCTATACAGTGAAATAAAGTTCAAAAAGGATTAGCAGCTTACTTGCCTGACCGGCTTGAAAGTGTGGGTGTGGTGGCAT